GTTGCACGAATGTGAAAGGGAAACTAGAATACTGAAAAATCATAGGCGTATCAGTTGTTCCGGCTACGCTGTAATTTTGACAAGCCAAAAAATATATTGATATAAGAAAATAAGAATTTAAAAAATTGGAACAGCTCGTATATGTCAGTGGCCTTGACGAAATTTGAAAAAAAAACGGAAACAGCTACAGAGCTGTATAGCTATATATAATTGTTAAAAAATTGTAATATCAAGTGACGTATGTCATTTCACTTTGTCCCCTCCAACTACAATTCAGACCTAGGATTCTGATGTTATATAAAATGTATGTATATCTATATCTAGTATCTGTGTACATGTATATCTGCCGGCCTGTTTTGGAAGATCTCCTAGGGCATTGTGCTAGCCGTCACGGAGTCTGCAGTTCCACTGTGGGCCTCTCTAAGCAGAAATCCGTATTAGGAGAAAATCCAGTAATCACATCAGTGCACATATAAGGCGTCGATGAGCAGCGCAATGCCCGTAGCGTTGGCACCTATCGTATCGAACAGAACGAAGCGGCAGTCTAATAAAAAGTGGAAGCCAAAGAGAGCCAAAGGACAAGAGGCTGCAGAACGTCGGACTCAGAGTGAAAATAATTCTCGAATACGAATGCAATGAGCCAACTGACAATTGCCTATGACGCAGCAGTACACGACACGTCAAATCCTCAACTTGCACCGTACCTTAATGACGTCACGAAGAAGACTTCGCGAAGACCCAACGAGGACGTCGCCACAGCCAGACGGACGTTTCACGAGCCAACGAAAAGTAATCCCGAACTGAAATCTGCGGGAAAAAAGACTCCCTAAGCCCAATTCCGTTATCAGAGTCCGCCATGTTGAATTTCATACCGTCGTTTTAATTTCCTTAAAATTTCCTAGAAGCCGTTGCACCAGCGACGACCGTTCTCGTTGTTTCGCTATTCTTTAACCCGCGTCGGAATGCCAACCCGTGGCGTCCCGTTCCTTCCCGTATATCCAGTATGTCCAGTGTTCGCGTGTCCAATGTTGCTCGAGCCAGCACAGTGTCCCATGCGTCGCAGAGACTTCTTTCTCGAGTGAAGTTAGCAGGCATTTCACTCGAAGCGTCATTCCCGGGAAGTCTCCCTCGAAACCGTTAGGATAATGCTTGGCAAAGTCAGCGAAGCCACATGCAGACCGTACTTATGTATAATCCTTGATGCTGGATGATGTACAGGGCTGCCCTACTCGAGCGTATCGCTCTGAAATGTCCAAGAAGAACACGTGCACAGAACCGAAATGACTTTTACTTCTGAGAACGTGTTCCAGGGGATCATAACGAAGATAATTAAAAATGTGATTCAACACTTTTCAACACGTCCCCTCCCCCTGTAATAATTTCCCATACACTAACAAACACTGAAAAAAAAACATTTTTCACAATCCAAAGAGTCAGCAAAGAATTTTGAAAAATAAAAAAATTCTTAGTCTCCCCAGCGATATCCTTTGCTGTGCCTCTCAGTTGAATAACCCTGTACAACAGATACTACACGCAGACATCAGAGGGGGACCAGAGAGGGCTGCGATACGCGCTGTGCGATAGCGGATCTAATTATATAGTGTAGAACGAATGACGAATCGTTACAAGTTCAATAGTCTGGTACGATTAAGTATTTTTGACCGACCCTCCCACGCCGGCCGATCCCAGCGAAGCCAAACAAATAAGAGTATCGATTTTATTTACAAAGTCGTCAGATTTAATTGGCAATCGATATACCCACCGATCGATAAAGTAACTCGTACTATACACATGGCCGATCAATATATAGCCTGACTCTCCCCTCTCGCCCCTCCAGGTTCATCCACACGTCCTTCCCCTTCCCCAATCTCGCACAGAAGCACAGTTCCCTGTCCGATCTAAAATCGACAGAAAAAGTAGGCCGTTCGAAGAAGCAGGAAGTAATTATTTTGTTTTTTTTTTTTGGATTCTCCAAGAAGATGCCATACGTTTGGAGTCTGCTGCATATCTGCACCTTGAGGAATGGAAGAATGTATCCTTGGCCGGGCAGCCGGTCGACCGGCTCCTACCGTCTCTCTCTCTCTCTCTCTCTCTCCCTCTTCTCTTCCCTCAGGAATTCCTCAAGGAATTGCAGACTGCAAAGGGTTCTCGAACTCGGCAAGGCCCAAGACCTCCCTCCCCAGCTCTATGGCCGCATGTCTGTAATTGCCAGCGCATCGCGCTGCAAGCTGCTACTGGCAGCGACAACACCGGGATCGCAGCGAAAGAGACTCGGTTGACTCTGCGCTGGGATCATCCATCATTGTTAGGGACGAGGATTGATCCTGAAGTTAACTCGTTACACAAGTTGACAAGGAGGCAGCGCAACTCGAATCCCAAGTATGTTTTGAGCCCGGCGAATACAGGGAAAGGGGTCAAGAGGGTCATCACGAGTATTATTACTGGCGTGACAAAAAACATTTTTTTTTTTTCCAAAAAATCTGAAAACGTAATTAAAGAACTGACTGACCTATCTGTTTAATGAGCGACAGATTGGTTTTTATGGGTCGCTTATTCGATTCGATTCACCGTCGGTGTCTTCGCGTGCCCGGAGTATAATTACTTTTTCGTTTTCTTTTGTTTCACTTCCTTCTTCTTTTCCTTCGACAAGACTTTCTTGCGTCACTTGGACGCGCAGCGGATCTTCAGGGAACTCGGTTGTCGCGAAAGGTAAAATTAACGGTGCCTCGCGCGAGTTTCCCCGGTTCCTTTGAATTTTCATGCGGAACGCGACTCGAACAGCCGTGAAAATTCATCGAACCGAGAATCATCGTGGCTGCGCGAATCGATCTAATTGGTAGCGGGTGCCAGCCTGCTCTTTCTTCCTGGTATAACGCAAGTCGAGATCAGGTCGGACAAAGCGTTTCGATAGAAAGCATTATCGTCAACGATATTTCCCAGCATCCCTCGCGCCGACTTAAACGACTAGCTATATAAAATATTTACGGTAATAAAATTCCCTGAGATCTCGAGATCAGATATATATATATATATATATATATATATAACCTTGAGAAAAGCGAAGCGCAGAGATTATCCAAAAGATACAAAGGATGAGCACCTGATAAGACATACGGACGCTGTAAACGTGAAATTGCTGCGATCAAACGGCTATTCGATGGAGAAAATGTTTCTACCCGTACACGGCATCTTCTTTTTTTGTCCTACAGGCCGAGGGAGTCGCGTATGCCGCATTCTTGGGTGGAAGGCTCATCGGGCAGGAAACTTTCTCATCGAGTGCATTGCCGTCTTTTCTGCGGACTTACAGGGAGAGAGAGAGAGAGAGAGAGAGAGAGAGAGAAAGAGGGCGCAAGAGAGATAGACGGGTCGCGACTGTTGTTGCCTCTCTTGAAACCGAGAGTGGCGGATTGTCGAGTAGGGAGGAATGTTATTAGTCAAGATTTTCATGCGACTGGCCGCTCGGGGCACCGGTGTGCGTCAATTCTTCGCCAGGAGCGGCGGACGTGATAAATTGTTTAAAAAAGAGCAAGTTGCCAAAGCCTATGGATGTTGAAAACAAAAAAAGGAAACCATAGAGGAATAAAAATCATTAGGGAGATAGTGCCATTCGAAAATTTAAAATCCGACAAGGTTTAACGGACAAAGAACATGGGGACGGAGATCAGGGAAGCCATCGTGGGTTAATAATGCCAGCGGCGCGGCAGTTGCGCTGAAATTCACGTAGTCCGTAGACTTAAGGATTATTTTGGGATTGGTCTTGGACGGAGGCTTTACCGGTTATTTTGGAATTCGAAACGACGGCGACACTGCGACATGGCGCCTCGGAGTTTAGACTGCGCCACGAGCTAAGACCTAACCTCAATTACGTATCTTGTCTCCTTAATCATCCTCATGTATGTGTGTGTGTGTATATATATATATATCGATTTATTTCTAGTTACTTCGCATTACTCTCGATTATCGTGGATAATCAGTGTAGCTATAGATTATGGTCGGGAAAAGAAAATTCTCAAAAATCCTCCATACCATGAATATAGAGCCAGTTCGTAGTAACTATCTTCGAGCGGATACGAAATATAGTTGAGGGATAGGGTTCGCATGAAAAGGAAAAAAAAAAAAAAAAAAAATTAAAAGAAAAAAGGAAACTGGGTAACATCATACGTTCACCAAATACCCATGTGCGGAAATACTATAGAAACCGGTCCACGTAGGACACCTGAATCCCGGTGTTCCTTGCCATACCATACCTTACCTGACTTTACTTGGCCTATCTTATACACTGTGTACGGTGAAAGTTCATCACGTGTTCGGTAGGTACGCGTACACCTCTGTACCGTCACGTATGGCAACGCTCTCATAATTTAAAATGTTCATGTCCAAATTAAGACTTACTTACTCGCTTACTCGCATTAACTTTATTTCTTGCTTTCTTATTGTTCCGCAAGATACTCTTGTGTCACTGGACGGAATCGAATCTGGGGCAAATAACAAATCGGCAGCTAGCTACGTAACGGAGGAGAAAAGTCGTTCCTGCCATAGTTAAACGTTAATGCTGGATATGGGAAAATTCAATAGACATTTTTTCGAATGCATACAAGACGACACCGATAACCATCGAGTGCACCGGAAATCACGTATGCAGGGCCGGAAGTTCTGCTGTCACCATGGTAGGTTTTCACTGAATTTCAGAATCCTCAATATGCTACCACATATACACGTGTAACAGACGTTGCTTGGTGTAAAAAAATATATATAACCTGAACAAGGAACAAAGTTTTGGAATGAGGAAAATTTTTTTGAATTTTCCAAAAAAAATGTCTGAACAAGAAAATCTGACGATTGTAAATTGGCTGTTATCGGGTAACTCACTAATTATCGCACACTGCACCATTCCCTAGATACACTGGTAATTTTCAGTAATTAACAGTTTTACCCTACGCCGATAATATTCCGTAAAACGTGCTGATCCAGCCTCCACTAGTTACTACACTCGTACTTACGTCACCGAACGCTTTGACGAATTCCTCAGGAACGTCCATCCACGTTCCGACTCCATCGCGGCCGATCATTGTAATTGGCCTTTCTTTTTTATTTTTTTATTTTTAATTCTCCAACCGCTTACCTGAAACAATCATCAGGTTCCTGTTAATGATGTATTTCTAATAATCCAAGAATTCACAAGAATAACAGGATGCTGGTCGGATGACAATATATTACATAAAAAAAAAAAAAGGAAGCGAGAGGCTAAAGGTAGAAATATTGTTGCAAGGAGACATACATGG